TTCTGACTCAGGGGTGTACCGCATTGAGCTCCAGAATGTGTCTGGAGAGGTGTATCACGACTTCCACGTGCGTGTGGCAGGTATGACAAGGAACAGAGGCCTGGGTAGACATCCCTGCCTCCACTCCCCTCTGCTGCTGGAGTCTTACCACTGTAACGGCGTTCCTTAAGGTAGTCAGGCTCCTTTGGCACCCAGAGCAAGACTCTTAGCTTTTGCCTTAATGCACAGAGTTGTTTCCACTTTTTCTCAGAATCTTGAAACCCCAGAGGCATTGAACTAGGACTAAGCCCTTGTTTCAGTTTCTGCAATCGTATCTGGAGAGCTTCAGGGCATATGCAGAGTGGGGTCAGTAAGAATAAGTAAGAGGCAAGAGAGACAGACAGAAATGAGTCCATTAAAAATTGGGGTAACTGGCCTGTATGTTATTGGACATATTGTCAAAGCGTGTGATTTGGTCACCTAGAAAGCCCTTTTGGGGAAACTTCACAATCCCACAGTGTCACTGCCATATAGCTTCATTAGAATTCCTGAACCACAGCTGAAATGAGCTTCCTATTAATTTTTAGTTTCCCCCCAGATACCATTTAGAACTTTGATAATAAAGATGGTGGGTAAAACCTAAGAAAGAGCATTTTCATCATCTTAAGTCGCAGGAAACTGCAGGTTTTGAGGTTTAACACATTGTGTATTTCTAAATTTACATTAATCACTATGCTAAAGAGTATGTGAAACATTCCTTTACAGTGATGCATTTTGTACCTCCCTCTGTTAAAAGCATAACAGCCCCTCCAAATTGGGGTGACCTCTTAAAAAGAATTGGAAGCTTTATAATAAAGCCCTAAACCCCCAAGGGCTGAAGGGGTGAACTTTTATTAAATGGGTACTTTACCCAAACATTATTATGATAGCTATTGTTAGTCTTTTTTGCAAGTGAGGAAATGGGTCTCTGAAAGTAACCTGCCTAAGTTCACAGGGCTAGTAAATGACAGAGCTGGAGCTACACTCATAAATAGTTCTGGCTCCAAGACTCTGGCTGCTTGAAACTTAGAAGATGAAGGTGCCCCATCCCATCCTTAGGACTTGGCAGGTGGCGGGCATGGGGGCACGATATTTCCGCGGGGGTGTGGAGCACGATATTCGGGCACGATATTTCCCCAGGGAGGCTGATGGATTTTTCGGACCCTTCCAGATTTTCCGCGGCCACCCACAAACCTACAGCTGTTTGAGGAGGTCACCAACACGGTGACTCTGACCTGGAACCCAGCTCCGACCTGCAGGAGGGCGGCGAGGCCCACTACGCCGTAGTGGGGCGGGATGCCAGCACAGCCACCTGGTTCACGGCGGCCGACCACGTCCTCAGCAACAAGTACGCGGTGAACCACTCGCCTCGCTCCCCGCAGGAAGCGCTTCTTCCGAGTGCTGGCCCAGAACGAAGCGGTGACTCCAGTGACACCTGCCTGGCTCGTCAACAAGGACAAGAGTGAGTCTGGGGACCTAGGGGTTCAGATCTGTGATCCCTGATGGCGGGGATGAAGTAAGGGTTGCCAGGGGTACCCAATGCTGAGAAGCACTGAGGTGAAGGAGCTAACGTTGGGGACCCTGGGGAGAAAAGCTAAGGTCTGGAAGCCTAGGAGAGGAGATTCCTTCGGGGGACTCTGAGGGGTGGGACTAACGTGGAGGTGGGGAGATTCCTCTGGGGGCGGGGATGCCAGTAGGGGGCGGGAAGGAGGGGAGAGGATGTCGGTGGGGGACGGGGATGTGGAGCTGAGAAGCTGTTCCAGCCGAGGGGCTAACTGAAGTCCTGATTGAGGATTCAGGGAGGGTCCAAGAAGCGGAGATGACATCCGGAAACCCCGGAGGGACGGGATTAAGGGTTGGGATAGCTGCGGGAAACTTGAAGTATGAATCTCAATTGGAGACAGCAGAGACGGTGGAGGCTGGGGCGCCTTGGAGAAAGCTTGGACCGGTGGGGGTGGGGAGATCAGACACATGTACACCNCAATATATTTTTATGTGCAACGAAGACAAAACTATACTGGTCCAGGATAAGGATAGACAGGAGGCGCTGAAGGGAATAAAGGCTTCCCCCCAGGTGGCGCTAGTGGTAAAGAACCTGTCTGCCACTGCAGGAGAGGAGGGTTCGATCCCTAGCTGGGGAAGATCCCCTGGAGGAGGGCATGGCAACCCACTCCAGTATGCTTGCTTGGAGAATCCCATGGACAGAGAAGCCTGGTGGGCTACAGTCCCTGGGATCGCAAAGTCAGACATGACTGAAGCACACGAGGGAGAAATGATAGGATGGAGGTCCTCCCTCTGCACACAGATGTGCCATGTTCTGCTCATGTGTGCACAGGTGGGGGAAATGTTTTATTTCTTCCTACACATTCTACTGTTTTCACAGCTAGACAGCTAGTTGCATGAACTCTCTAAATGCAAAGATGACCTACCTTGCTCTTCCCCCTTTGCTTTAAGCCTCCTAGCTTTGTCATGATCCGTTAGATAAAAATCACCCCCCACCACCTACCTCTCCACCCTCCTCCTCTGCCACCCTCTGAAGTCTCCAGGACATGTATTGGTGTCCAGTCTCCATGGTTACAGACTCTAACCATCCTGTTACAGATGTCTTTCTCTGGGGAAAGGACCATGTCCTGTTGCTCTGTCTCTCAAGTACTCAGCTAAGTGCCTGGCATTGAGATGATGCCTCCACAGTGGCTGCTGAACTGTGTAACAGAACTAGGCCAGGAAAGGCACCATGGGAGACATCCAGCTCTCATTCCACAGCTAGAGAGATCCCTGACAACTTAATTCTGGTTGTAAGCACATGGGCACAAGGCCCTGGCTCTAACACTAATCAGCCATGTGACCTTGGCAAGCCACTCTAAGCTTGTTTCTCATCTACTTCTTAGGGCTGTTATGAGGATTAAATGAGAGTGCATAGAAGTGCCTGGCACAATGCGTGGCATACATTAAATGAATAACTGGCAGTTCTTGGTCCCACACACTCGGCTGACCTTGGCAGACTGCAGCTGGGAAGGACTGAGGATCCTAGGCAGGGTCCAGCCCCTGGTTTCTGCATAGTGACTCAAGGTCCAGGAGTTTGGAGGTTCCCTTGTCCATAGGGTCATTCACACTGACAAATACTTTCTTTGCTCTTTCAGACAAAGATGACAAGTCAATTCTAGCATCTGTCACTGAGAGTCTGCAGAAGAAATCAAAGTACCTTAAGTGAGCTCCAGCCCGGCCCAGGCATCAGGAGGATGCTGTGACGTGGGGCTTCCTGGCCTGTCCTCTGTGTGGTCCCAGTGAGGGAGGCCCTGTATGCTCTGTGGTGTTTGTCAACATAAACATTCACTGAAGGGATGGGACAATACACTGAGGGTGCCTTTGCGTATATTCCTGACCATGGTGTGCACCAGGGACCAAGGAAATAGGACTTGGGAGTGGGATGGGCATACTCAGAAGCCCAACCCCTGAGAGCCTGCTCTAAACCCACCCACATGGGGAGTGACCAGTCCCCTTTTGGCTGGGCCTTGCCCTGCCTTCCCCTCCTCCACAACTGCACTGTACCTTGCCCTCCCCTCGGGGCTTAGCAGGGAAGTTTTGAACTTCCTCCCCAGCCTGCTAAGCCTACAAGTAGGTATGTCTTCAGTTCTGGGATTTAAATGGATCAAGACCTTGCCTCTTTAGTGTCCAGGGTTCCTACTATCTGGGCATCCCAGGTGGCTGAGTGGTGAAGAATTCCCTTGTCAATGCAGGAGATACAGGTTCGATCCCTGGGTCAAGAAGATCCTCTAGAGAAGGAAATGGCAACACACTCCAGTATTCTTACCTGGAAAATCCCATGGACAGCGGAGCATTGTGGGCTACAGTCCAGGGGCTTGCAAAGAGTTGGACACAAGTAGGTGACTGAGCACACACTCATGCATATTCATACTCTTTTTGAGAATCAAGAGAATCTGAAAGCTAGAAGGGATTGGTCATCCACCTCACTATGTTTGACAGCAGCAAACTCTTCCTTAAAAAATTTTAAGCTACTGGACTTGAAACAAGGATGGGGGTCTTTGAACCTCCCTCCTCTACTTTATTCTTTTGCTAGTTCCCACCAGCAGGGCTTCCCTGGTGGTTCAGCTGGTAAAGAATTGGCCTGCAATGTGGGAGAACCTGAGTTTGGTCCCTGGGTTGGGAAGATCCCCTGGAGAAGAGAAAGGCTACCCACTCCAGCATTCTGGCCTGGAGAATTCCATGGACTGTATAGTCCATGGGGTCGAAAAGAGTCGGATGCGACTGAGTGACTTTCACTTTCAGCTCCCAACACTAATCTTTGTACAGATGCTAGTTTGAAAATTACTGATTCATCCAACACCCATACGGGGCTTGAGTCTATCACATCCCCACAACTGTACAACCCCTCTACTGATGGGAGTATTCATTACCATCCATGACTTCCCTTTTTACTCTGGGTCAGGGAGCTGCCCATTAAGATGAAAATGCCCCTGGAGTCAGGTGACAAGTTATTCTGCCAGGGCTTCACATCTAAAGCATGAATCATACAATCTAATCTCATTCCTCCCAGCTGTTCAGCTGAGCCCAGACTCCAGGGAAGAGGAGGAGCGTGAAGGGAATCTGGGTTATTTTGGAGCAGGTAGCAAGTCTGGGCTGGGGAGGGCAGGAGGTGGGTCGCAGTAGAGGGCATCAAGTAATGAGATGCGGGGCACCTGTGCATAGGGGAGGGCATTAAGGACAAGTTTGAATGGCGGCAACTCCTACCCATCCCCCATCCTCCTGAACTACGTCCTCACCCACACACGTGACCAGAAAGTGAGACCTACTCCAACCAGCACAGTATCACCAGTCACAGAGCCAGCCTGGCGCCAACATGCACTGGCCAGGACTGTGACCCGCGCCGTGAGGACATCCAGGGCCCCTGGTGCCATGCCCCCACCCCCACTTCTCCAGGACAGGCAGCACGTGCCACACAGGCAGACAAGCAGGGCAGCCAGTGACTCTTGTGGGTTTTTTTTATTTTTTTTTTCATGTGAGCAACAGGATGGAGTAGTCCCATTCTTGCTCCCCTTGCATTGAATGTGCCTTGGGTCTTATGACCCGAGAGTGTCATTGGAGCCCCTTCCTTTTGCTCCCAGAGCAGGAGGGGCAGGGCGGAAAGAACTGAGAGTGGGTGTGTATGTGGGGGGTGGCCCAGCTCCCGGAGCCAGGCTCAGCAACCCCTCAGCAGCTCCCTGAGGCCCTCTCCCCGTGAGACTTTGACACACAGCAGGTCAGAGACAGCTGGCAGAGTAAGACATAGGCAGGCTGGGAGACAGATCATACAGACAAGACTCGCGCGCACACACACACACACACACACAGGCTGGCCCCTTCCTTTGGCATGGTTCACCCTAGCCCTGGGGATAGGGTCTGAGGGTAGTGGTGTGGGGCCTGAGCTCTAGGATGCCCTTTGAGAGATGGGACCAACTTGAATCCTTGGTACGCAGAACTTCCAAGGCCAAAGTAGTCCCCAGTCTTGCCTACCTGGACAGACACCCCTCCACCTTCCCACCCAACACTTAGACATTAAGATTGTTCAAGTAATGAGGATAGATGCAGGAAAGGGAGACTCCACTCTCATCCAGTCTTTCCATCTAGGGGCCTGTGAAAGGGGCTTCAAGCCCTGGGCATCTCAGCACAGACTCCTCCCCTCCTCTCTCAACTCTGTGTAAATCTGAAAGAGTGGAAATGGGTGAGTCGGACTCTTTCGTCTAGTAGAAGTGGGGGAGGTCAAGAGGCTGAGCACCACGGCCCCCCAGAGGGGCTCTGACAGTCCAGGTAGGGTAGAGGTGGGAAGATCCTGGCTCCGGCAATGAGCTTTAGGCTGGCTTTTTTTAGTTCTCAACATGGTCCTGGACCATGCTTTGCTAGAAGGATCTTTTTCCTGCTTATCCCTCAAACTTGCACATTTCACAGGTGATACCTGCTGCCCCAGGTTGGTACTGTGGCCATCTCAATCCAACTCTGGCAGGCTCCCAGGTTCTGGACTCCAGTCTCAGGAGAAGGGAGGGGTAACCAGAACCTGACCCTCATTTGGCTTTGCTCAGTCGGTAGTCCTCCACTGGCTCCCGGCTCTCGACAGCTGACAGGGCGATGAGCATCTGGGCGGCGTAGTAGGTGGACATGATGAACGCCCGCGAGTAGGGCACAGGGAAGCAGAACTTGTCGAGGCCGATGGTCACGTCTGAGATGATAAACAGCAGTGCACCACCGCCTGCTGCTAGCTCAGTCCAGCGCCAGGCTGCCCCGACCAGATGTAGCCCTGCCATTGCTCGCCAGCCCATGAAGCCGACAAGGGCCACATAGACCCCCACCAGGTAGGTGAAGGCACCCGTGAGGCTTGGGTAGAAGACGGCATAGCACAGGACCGCCAGTACTGCCATCAGCAGACCTGTCCGAAGAGCCAGTGGCCGCATGCCAAAGGCTGAGGCGTAGAGCATGTGGGTCACGGCAAACATCAGCAGACCTGGGAGTGAGAGGGGATGATGGGATGTTGAAGGCAAACTCAGGTGAGAAAACAGGAGGTCGGGGTAGGAGTGGAATGCTTAGGATAACCCAGGAGCTCTCCCGGGGAAGTAACAGGGGTGGGAAGAAATCCAGGTAGGCAAAGATATCTCCAAACTCTCCTGTGGTACTCCAGGACAGATCACCGAATCGCTGGCAAGGTCGTCCACCAACAGGGGCCCCAACAGTCTTTGGCCTCAGAACCCCTTTAATTCCCCACGTTCTTGTTTTAAAAAAAATTCTCTTTCCTAAATCCTTGGCCCCTCCCAAGGGTCCTCTAGCCCCCAACCCCAAGATTCCTCCCAGGTGGCGACTGTGATGACTGACCGTGGAGAAAGTAACCCTGGTCCTGCCAGATGAGGAAGGCATCGCCTATGGCGGAGAAGACGAGCCCCACGAAGATGCGGGCGGCACTGGGGTGGGTCAGCAGGAATCCCAGGCCATGGGCCAGGAGGAAGAGCCAGAGGCAGAAGATTGGCAGGCACTTGATGAGGGCGCTGACCCACGACGGGCTGGACAAGGGCAGCCAGAGCACGAAATACACACAGGTAGCCTTGAAGAAGGGCACCAGCTTGGGTCCTTCACTCTTCACCTGGAAGACACGGGACAAAGGCAGCATTCAGAGCATGGGAGCCCAGAGCGGGGCTCGGAGCAGGACCCTCAGCCCAGGCATTCACCCCAAAGACAGGCCCACCTCCACAGCAGGGAGGACAGACACAGAAACCCAGTTTGACCTGTCCCAAGCAGCCAGTATGAAAAGAGCCCATCATTAACTTGAAGCTTAAATGATTAGGAAGACAAAGGGCTCCATTGTGCCTGCTACTCACGTCCCATTCTTGGCCCTGGGGCAGGACCAGAATAGTCACTGGGCAGAAAGCAGACTTTGGGATAGTGTCCCGTCCTGCAGCCCAAGGCTTCTCCCTTTCTGCCCCTTCCTTCTCCCCCTACAAAGCCCCTTCAGCCTCTCTCTGGCAGCATCAATCCCCAGCTGTCTGGAATAGAGGGGAGTCAGCAGCAAACCACAGAGATGCCACAGCTGGCCAACTCGTGATCCTCAGCAGTGAGGCCAGGACACGGGCCCGGCGACACCAGGTGAGTGCCAGGAATGCGTGAGAATAAGCGCTGTCAACCATCTCAGCCCCCAGAGGCTCTCTTCTCAGCTGGTCTGCAACTCAGCTTCCACTCTAGCTGCCTTAGCCTAAAAGTACCATCAAGAACAAGGAGAGGAGACAGGGATTCTGCCTAGAGAAATGGACCCATGAGTGGGGAGCAAGAAAACTGTCCCTGAAATACCAGCAATCTCAGGGGTTGGGGGGTTGGAGAGGGTGTCAGTCAATCTCATTTTCCAGAGAACAAGAGCAACTTCAGGCACATCAGAAAGAGAGGCAGGAAGGGGAGGCAGGGTTCTCTCACCACCTTTTGATCTGAAGCCAGCAGTCAGGCTGGAAGGAGATGAGGAACTGAGAGGAGGAAGTCAGAGCAGCTGACTGGGTCTCAGCCGGATTAGGAGGGAGGGCAGCTAAAGAAGGGTTGTTTCCCAGGCCATGCAGGCACTCTGCAAGCTCAGGGAGGGATCTGCTGTGGATATTCTGAATCTGGGATCCCCTGAAGCTGTTTTTCTTGGACATTTGGTACTGGGGCTCAGAGAGTGATGCGAAGGAGCTGAGGTTCCCGGTATACACATGCTCTGCCCAAGAGACAGGTCTCTGGCCCAGTGAGCTGCCCAGCTCAGGGCTACGGGTACACACTCAAGACTCTCAGACCTCCAGGCCATGGTTACCTGGCACTGAACAGACTGATGAAGGAGGCTGGGAAGAGGCAGATGTGGATCCAGGCTAAGCCCGCCCTTGCTCTGCCAGGGGTGAGAGCAGTGAGAAGAGATGACAGAGCTCCTTCCTGTGGAGATTTCCCCCATGCAGGCTGGTCAGGGCAGAGACACCAGCAGAGGAGGAGATAGCTTATCCTCACAGTCCCCAGATCTCCTCAGCCTCACCTGCCAGCCCTTGGAAGCATCTACTTCACAGCCCTCCCCCAGGCCCCCTATTTCCTAGAAGAAACAGTAGGAGGAGCTGGGGAGGCTTTGACAATCTTGGAGAACCCAGCGCTAGGAGTAGGAGAGGGGCGGAGAAGAGACAAAACTTGAGGTGAGAAAGTCTGAACAAGGGGTGTCAATAGAGAACGACCCCTTTTCCCTTCTGCGCGTGATCCAGGCTGCCTAGACTCAGAGGCGTCACCTACACTGCCCGAGACTTCTTGTAAAGATGAGGAAAGGGAGGGAACAAATTGGGAACAAGACTCCCAGGAGGTCCCAGCTCCGCTCCCGCTCCCCCCCTCTTTTCTGCGGTCTGCTCGCGCAGAGCCGGAGGCCCTGCATCCGTCCCCTTCCTCTCCCAGGGGGCCACCCGGCCAACCCGCGCCAGACACACGGAGATCAACAAAGTCACGCTTCCGAGTCACGTGCCCGCTGTTTTCCTCCCTCCCGCGAGCCGGCGGCGGGCGCGCGGAGGAGGGGCACCGGGGTCTGGGATGCGGGGAGCCGAGACCGCGCCGCCTCCCGCCGGGGGGGACGCGGGCGGCCTAGACACACGGAGATCAACAAAGTCACGCTTCCGAGTCACGTGCCCGCTGTTTTCCTCCCTCCCGCGAGCCGGCGGCGGGCGCGCGGAGGAGGGGCGCCGGGGTCTGGGATGCGGGGGGCCGTGACCGCGCCGCCTCCCGCCGGGGGGACGCGGACGGCCGCCGGATCCCTGCCTTTCCTCGGACGCCCACCCCCGACGCCCCCCAGCGGCTTGGCCTGCCGCAGCTCAGTCCCCAGGTCGGTGGGCTCCGGCCGCGCCGGACACTGGCCCGCTCGCTCGCTCACACACTCACCACAGTGACCGGAGACACCATGGCGGCGGCGGCGGCAGCGGCCCGGGACGCGCCGCAGGTGAGGGAGGCGACGAAGGAACGAAGCCCCGGTGACCGACGATACCTCCCCGGCGCCGGGCGCCGGAGCTTCTGTCTGCGATCCCCGCGACGTCACGGCAGACACCGCCAATGAGACGTCTGGAGTCGGCCCGGCCTGGGGCGCTTGGCAGGAGGGCGGCCGGCGAGTCGGGAGAGGCCCCGCCCCTCCCCCCCCCGACCCTTCTACACCCCATCTTTACTGCCCCAGGGAGAGAGGCTTTTCAGGCCGCGCCCCTCTAGGGGTCCGTGCCAAGGCCTCCTGGAACCTAACTGTGACCCCAGGCTTTGGGGGACGACAGAGGTTGGCCGAGAGACAAACACATTCCTGTCCCGGACACAGGGCTACACACATTTTTCTCATAAACCGGGGTAAAATGCAAAGACAGAGTCCCTTCAGCCTTTAAACATGCAGTCCACATGGACACACTTGGTTAGATCCACAGCCTTCACTGTACACAAGTACACATCGCAATGGACACTCGAGAGTCCGTAGACATACAACTTTTTAACATAAAAAGAGACATAGCAATCCATAGACCCGTGGGGTGGGGGGGCGGGCACAGTCGTGTCCGACTCTGTGACCCTTTGGACTGTAGCCCGCCAGGTTCCTTTATCCATGGGATTCTCCAGGCAAAAATACTGGAGTGGGTTGTCATGCCCTTCTCCAGGGGATCTTCCAGACCCAGGAATGGAACCAGCGTCTCCTGTGTCGCCTGCGTTGCAGGCATATTCTTTATCCGCTGAGCCGTTGGGGAAGCCCCCCCGCCCCCCAGAGATATGCACAAACACGTACAGGATCACAATTACTCTCTTAAGCACCAAACAAATATATAGACACAAAACTGACAGGCCCAGATGCACATATATCCTTTAAGGTGAAAAGAGAGACACATATATAGGCATGCGGCAGCCTATAGACCTACAACAACCACGCTTACTCAATCACCCTTAGACACACATCTCTCACAAGTCAGAGACACCTTAACACCCACAAGAACGCCCTGGTAATGATAGACAGGCAGACCTGAGCATACTTAAGGACCCAAAGGAGTATGAACGAACTCTGCCAAAAATGCAACTTAAGCAGATTAATGCTGAAAGAACACAAACTAAAGGTACACAAGCACATTTGGAACTGAGCACATGCAGAATCTTGGGAATTAGATGAGAGAAGTGGGAGGCAATCAAATGAACTGGGACCTAGTCCCAGTGTTACCACTTCCATGCTGTGTGGTTGGGTGAATCATCTCCCCAATCTGATCTTGATTTCTTCATATATGAGTGGATGATCTCGTGTTCCTCCCAAGCCCAACATGTGTAGGATAGGGAAGCGCAGGGGCTGCTGGTGTCAGGAAATTTAAGTCTAGAGGTCTTCCTGGAGTGGTAAAACTGGGACTAGGTCCCAGTCCATTTGACTGCCTCCCACTTCTCTCATGTAATTCTCATGATTCTGAACATGCTTGGTTCCAAATGTGTCCAGGTACCTTTAGTCTGTGTATTATCAGAATTAATTTCAGATTTCAGAAACATCTTAAAGGATGTTTCGGTGGTCTTTGATCTGCTGCAAACTCCAGGAGGTAGTGAAGGACAGGGAAGCATGGTGTGCTGCAATCCAAGGGATGGCAGAGTCGGACATGACTTAGTGACTGAACTACAACAACAAAGAGGGAAGTAGCTGTGTGTCAACCTTTGGGAACTGGGGTGGGGTAACCAGCCCTACTTATCTCTAATTAGCAGCCATAAAGGAATTTTCAGCCTCATGGAATAGTGACACCATAGTACTTAATTTTTCCTTGTGCTGGGGAGAAGCCCACAGACTGAGATCTCCTGTAAGCCCCTCCCGCAATAGGCCTCTTTATTTTTTTGGACCCTGCCTATTTTCCCTAAAGCCAGTGTGGCCCACATGACACTCTCTCAAAGCCAGGAGCAGCCCTCTTCTAGTGAAAGAACTGACAGAGATTCAGAGCCAGGGAAATAAAGGTGAAAGACAAGGACTCGGGCAGAGGCTCACTCACACCCTTCCACTTTCCCCTCCAGGCTCTTCCTACAGAGTCCTAGTGGATAATGAACTCCCCTTGTTCTACTTTCTTTCTAGTCAGAAGCTGTGGGGAAATTCACCTTACCACGATGGGAGACTAGAATTGCTGCCCCTGGCCGCTTTGTCTCACACACAAACACACACACAAACACTCCTACCAAGAGTGCTACCTGGAATGAACACTGGATTAAAAGTTACAAACACCGTACTAGCCCTTCCTCCTCTGTGACTTACTAGTTATATAACTGGGCACATCACTCCACTTTTGTTTTCTTATCAGTAAAATGAAGGAATTGGGCCAGAAGATATGTGCAAATATGTCAGCTTTTGACCTAAACCCTTTAATGTCACCTAAGGGATAATTCTCAGAGAGTGGCCAAGTTAGGGTATTTTTTCATTTCTCTGGATGTTAGTTTCCTATCCATAAAAATGAGAGGACTATTACAGTGGTTCTCAACAAGTAGGGCCTGTCAAAATTACTTGGGAAGCTTTTTAAAAACATAGATACCCTTGTCCCACCCCAGACCTACTAATTAGGTGGCACAGATTGTAATAAACTTGAATATATCAACACCTTTGACATCCCTTGATGGCTCAGATGGCAAAGAATCCAGCTGCATGTGCAAGACCTGGGTTCGATCCCTGGGTTGAGAAGACCCCCTGGAAGAGGGCCTGGCAACCCACTCCAGTGTTCTGGCCTGGAGAATCCCCATGGACAGGGGAGCTTGGCAGGCTACAGTCCATGGGGTCGCAAAAAGCCAGACATGACTGAGCAAGTAAGCACAGCAAATAGATAAAACCCGAGACCTAGAATTGCAATCCACAGGGCTGTATCAATGCCTGATTACTGAATAGGCAAGAATCAATCATATAGGTCGTCCACAAAGCAGAGGCATCTCCCCTCCGTGCTGATTATTTTGTTTGTTCCTTCTACCACCCAGATCCTTTCTTGGTCTTTCTCCACCTTACCCCTGGAGGTTGACCTCTGTGAACTGTATCACCAGGGTTCACTTGTGTTCTGGCTTCTGCGCTCAGCTAATAAGAGGCAGAGGCTGATCTGTGGTTGGAAGAGAACATGGCTGAGGTCCCCCGCCACCCACCACTAGTCTGCTGAGTGAGACTGAATTTCCATTAGTGACTGTGCTCTTCCATGGCCACAACTCCAGGCTTCCACCCTGGACCTCAGGCCTAGGGTTGGCAACAGCTTCCCACTATTGTTAGTCTTCAACCCTGACTGATTTGTGGCTAATTGCTGCTCTTCAGCTCTGACTAGTTTCCTTAACCCTGCCCACATCTCTGCCATCTCATAAGTTATATTCTTGAATGTAAGTTATATTCTTGAATCAGCAACCTGATTGATACAGTCATCAATGAAGCAGAGCACTGCCCCCTTCCCCTAAAGAAAGAGCTTATCTAATTTCATTCCTATGGATCAGATTTCTCAGTTGTTTCAAAAATGCAATTGTATGTACTGTGTAGTGTTTTTATGTTGATTATATAGTATAACAGGCAGAAGATGGGATAGGGCTGCCTGAAATTAGACATCCCTTCCTCTCTGTACCCAAAACTACCTATTTCACACAACTTGGTAGTTTTCTTTTTGCTTGCTTGTCTCACCTATCAAAATTTGAGCATGTTCGTCCATTCATTCAACAAATGTTTATTGTGCACCAAGTATGTCCTAGCCACTATGTTAGATGCTGGGGTTTAAAACCTTCTGTAAGATATAGGTTCTAGGAGCTCCCTGGCGGTCCAGTGGTTAGGACTCTGCACGTTCACTGCTGAGGGCCCAGGTTCAATCCCTGTCCCAGGAAATAAGATCCCACATGCCGGGCGACACAACCAAAAGAAAAGTAAATATAGGTTCTGTAATGGAGTTCAGTTCAGGCAGGCAAGTAAACAGTAATTACGGAGTGTGGCAGTTGAAATAATTGAGGTATGAAGGTATGTCTCCTATGACATCAAAAAGACATCTAAAAGAATCTTTTAGCATGCCTTGAGGAGTTAAGAAACCTGAGGCTAAATCTATAGAGATGAGCTGGTCTTCACTGAGTATACACCAGTGTTCTAAGTGCCAACTAAAAATTGTCACTTGCCTTCTACCTCTACAAGGTCACTAGCTACTGCAATCGCTGACCTTTAGCACACTGTAAAAGGAGATCAGGGAGGAGACCAGGAATGAGGCCCTCTGTGCTCTGGAAAAAACTAGCAGAGCAGGCCTTCAGATAGTTAGATATTTTCAGGAGATTTTATGACCCTAGTTTCTTCCATCTTCTCATATCTAGAAAAGCACTAAACTCATTAACAGAGATATCTGCTCCTCGTGACTAGCAGTAAGTTTCTCATGACTAGCAGCAAC